AACTGTTTCTCATAAAATAATTATTTTTATAATTATGTTTATAATTGTCAGCTTCTGGATCACATGGGATGACTTCAAATGAGACTCAAACTGAGAATATGTTTCTCTGCTATCCACTCCGGCCGGACTCCTGTCTGAAAGTGCATCGTCTTACTGTTATTAAAGTGGCGATGTATGTTTTAGTGGTGCTGATGATCCTCACAACAGTTTTTGGGAACCTGCTGATCATCATCTCCATCTCTCACTTCAAACAGCTTCAGTCTCCAACTCATCTGATCGTTCGCTCTTTGGCTTCCAGCGACTGTCTGCTGGGCTCTTTGGTCATGCCGTACAGCATGGTGCGATCTGTTGAAGGCTGCTGGTATCTGGGAGATTTTGTGTGTAAAGTGCATTCTAGTTTAGACATGAGCTTCTGTATCTCCTCCTTACTGCATCTCAGTTTAATATCTGTTGACAGTTACTGGGCCATTTGTGACCCTCTAAGTCAAGTAAGAATGAGGGTCACAAACAACACTGTGACTGTATTTATTACTTTCATATGGCTGTTTTCATTTGTGTACAGCTTTTCTGTTGTGTTTTCAGGGATAACTGCAGTTGGACTGGAGATGCTTATACTGCAGACTTACTGTGTGGGAAGTTGTGTTGTGTTTTTCAACAAACAGTGGGGTATTGTATGTCCAATTCTCACATTTTTCCTTCCCGGGACGATCATGAGCTCTCTGTATTTAAAAATATTCTATGTTGCACGAAAACATGCAAAGGTTATGTCAGAGAGAATGACTGGAGGGATGAAGAACCAAAGCTCTGCTCACAGAGAGAGAAAAGCAGCTAAAACTCTGGCCATTGTCATGGGTGTCTTTTTGTTATGTTGGCTGCCATATTTTACTGCTACTGTTCTTGACCCTTTTTTCAGTTTTTGGACCCCTGCTGTTGTTTTTGATGCTTTGTTTTGGTTTGCATATTTCAATTCCACTTGTAACCCATTGATTTATGGATTTTTCTACCCTTATTTTCAGAAGGCCTTTAAAATTCTCATATCCACTTATATCTGTGGCATCAAGCATTCTAACACCTTGATATTTGAATGAATACTGCTCTCAGACTTATTTCAGGCATCACAATAAATATTTATTTTTATGTAATTTTTTTTATTTCATAAATGCTGAAACAATTTTGCAAATGTGTTTTACTTGAAGCAATGATCTCAATATTTTTAGTAATCTGGTGGAAAAGAGGGGCACGCATGCAGGGATGTACAATGTTCAAAATATTTTTTAATTATTATAAACCCAAACAGCATGCATTTTTTGTGAAATTAACATTATAATTTGATTTTAATACATTAAACTCTTTTGATCACACAGTGTGTCTCCCTTTAGAAAAAGTCATATTTTGGCAGTTTGTTTGCTTTAAATTTCCTGAAGAAGAACCTGATGATTAAGGGAAGCATCTTCAAGTGAACCGACCTGGTCACACTTATATCTTCTGTTTAAAAACTGAAAAGAGAAAATCTGAAAGTTAAAATATATAGACATTTTTAAAAAGATATTCTTTATATCAGACATGTACAGCGCACACACAAAAAGTGTGTAACTTTTAACATTATTGTGCTATTTATTTTTGATTTGACCCTTGATATAACTAAATGATCCACATTTTAGGTTACTTGAGAAAACATTTTTTGCTGCGCTGTTACTTGCCAATAAATTCTATTCAAAAATCATTTAAAAAAATCTCACGCAGAACAGTTAAATTTTTTACAAATATAATATAAAATAATATAATTATATAATATATTATAATATTATAAATGAGGTTACAGTGAGA